ACTACCAGTTTCTACACTATAATGCTCATCATGTGCTCTGACAGAGGCACAAAAATACCGCGTAGGGCGTGGATGACGAACGTTATTTTAATCTTTCAAAGGTATTTGATAATCATGCCATTCTAGTCTTTTTTTTCTATATTTTTTTTCGAACACAAGTTACATCGAAGAGTTTCTTGTTATATTAGAATAAGTATTTCGAATTTAAATCGTCAACAGACCACCTCGTCCAAGAATAATGTCAGGAGTCAACGGATACGATCCTCGCTCGTCTGAAAGTGAGAACTGTGCGCCCGATCAATTAAGTGAAGTAAATCTTTTGTTTTCTTTTTAGAAATCTCTGATGGCACAAGTGCTAAGAAAAATGAAAATTCCAATAATAACCAATGCTCTACTGGCTCAACTGGTTCAAATACAGGATCTACATCATCGTCTTCATCATCATCCGGTACCAATCAAACGACAAGTGATAATAATAATGGAAACCAAACGACTGGAAAATCCTGATAACACCGAACAATATTTAAAATCTCGCGGAGAGAGAAAACGTACCTAAAACAAGCACGACTAAACTTATCTTGCTATTCTGTTATTGTTAGAAATGCATGCTATTTGATAAAGCCGTACTCGTAACTGTGTTTTTCTTCTGGACTGCAATTAGTCGTATGATATTTCATCCATTTTTTCGGTTAAGGTGGTTTGATATTTTTGCGTTTACTTCACCTGTGTTTTGCATTATGCATGTTTTAAAAAAATTTTCGGTATCAATTATTATTGATGATATATTACTTGCAAAGAGAATAACTTGAAACCATAACAGAGAAAACGTGTCCGTCACGTTAGCGGACACACCTTGGAATCAAGTAATGCTCAAAGACTTTTATTCCGAAAACAATTTTTTTCTCACCTTCTTTGTGGTTATCATTCATTGCTGTGAACTCAGAACGAGGGCAATATTCCTAAAAACAAAATCGAATCACCTATCTGTTTCATTTTGTATAAAT